TCGGAAGATTCGGTGATTAGTTTAAAAAACCCGGTGCATATTTCCAATAGTTTGTTAGCGTTGTATGACCACGCGCAATTGTTTGTGCTGCTCAATTTCTGTGAGCTTTCAGTAGTGATAATATTAATTTTCCACTATCAAAGAAGACTATAAAACACACTGAAACAGTTATTTACTGTGAGCTTTCAATCGACTGAAGTACAGTATATACAAATTTCAACATCTGAGTGTATATAGAATTTAATTTTGAAGTCTCGTGTGAAACGAGTTTCATATAAAAATACGTTAATTTGTACACGATCTTATTTCATGTCTATATCAATTTAAAAAAAATGTAAATTAAATGGGTCAATCATATTTAAAAAATACATCAATTGTTATTTTTTCAAAAACAGTTTATTCTTCTCCATGTTTTTTTGTGAGTGTCTAGATAATATACAATTTGTAACTTAAATTTTTTATGTAATTAATCATTGTAGGACACCTACATCCATCTTCAATATCAATATAGTAATATAAGAATTTGTCAACATACCTTGCCTAAAAAGTTCACAAATTGGAACTTGCTGATGTGTAATAGTAACTAGGTACAAATTTTTTACGGTTTAATATTCCCACTTAATATGATGAAATAATGATAAACCGTGATGAAAAATTGAAATATTATTAATTTTTCTTATTGATGTGTAATATTTACATGTTTTCCTTTTTATATCATTATTCAAGGAATGCATGTATAATTGCAAAATGTGTTTAACATCATGTCATTTATCATTATTATACCGAACTTCAATAATTATATACAAGTTATAAACAAAGATATAATACATGTTATTGGAATATGATATTTTGTTATTTGTACATCAGAATTTAATAAATGTGAATTTAACGTCAATTACATAGTTATTTACAAATTTGATCACCTTTTATTATTTCTTATTTATTATTTAGAAAAATATATCTTTAATGTATTTAAAGAAATTATTTGTTTTAAAAATAAATAAGCATACGTGGTGCTAAAAGAAATTGTATGCAAGTATATTGAAATACATCAAATGCAAATATAGGAAAATAGGAAAATCAATTAAAATGGATATTTAAAAGGAAACAAGGATAATATGAATTAAAATACGTTTCCTCATTAATTTCTTGCGCATGTCGTATATTTCTCGATTACCTTAATTCAATTAAATTTGTTATAATTATATCTTCATCTCAATCATTCTCTTGTATATGTATCATGTTTTCTTTAATCGTGTTGAATTAGCAAATATGTTTAACAATCTGCTACAAAAATTTAATCATTCGACGATAACACTTCGTATTATAGTACTATCATTCAGACATATTTCGTTATATATCGTAATTGTTTCGTATGTATTCGAGATTCGGATACACTGACTCGTTTATATTTATCATTTTGACAGTTGCTCGTCGTTTCCTGAATCCTATGTATGTCTGAATACCATTCGATTCTTACAATTTTATTTCCTAAACCAATTCAATTTGTATACTTTTAATATGCTGCTGGCTGATTATACAAATGCGACGAAGTATCTACTATAAATTATATATTCGTCTGGCACAAGCTTTGATGACTAACTTTAAAGTACATCAAAGAATTTCTTACACTTAATTCTTTTAAAGCACCACTATTATAGCTCATCTCCCGTATATTCATCATAATCTATTTTCACATATTGCATATTCGATACTATATATTAATAAAATAAATATTTTTTTAATTTTCTTGTATTTTAAAATCAAATGAACATACGATGTTGTAGAATACATATCAAGTTAATATTGATATTGCATGGCAATATTAATTGTGAATTCAGTTTTATATAAAACTGAAGAAGCAAAAAATATAAGTTGAATGTGAATTTTAAGGTGATAATCATGACTCAAACTGCAGGAACGAATGATTTTCGATTATGATTTCAGATCTAAGATTTTTCTTGAAAAAAAAAAAAAAAACAACGATTGATTTCCTTATAATTTTTTACATTTTAGTTTTTTTTATTAGCATGTATCTATCTGCGCATTTTCACAATAATAATACATATTTATAATACATATATAACAGAAATCTTTTGTCTAGGAAATAGACAAACAGATAATATTCTGTTAAAAAATTTGTTCTAATGTTGCCAGTATATAAGCATTTTATAGTATAAATGTAATACGCCATTATATTTTAAATAAAAAGTCGCGATAAGTGTCAATTGTATTTTCTTCGGTAACATAATTCCCTATTTTAAATTTAAAAAAATTTCTTAATACAAAAGAAAATAACTGTTTATGAATTTTCGTCGTGTGAAATTTTGATTTGTGATACATGACCTTTTGAAAATGTTATTTACACAAAAAAGCATTTCTTATGTTCGCTTGAATATGGTTTACTTGGATCCGAGTAATATATACACAAAAATTTTAGTTTAGTATAATTATCATGATAAGTATCTTATTTAATGTGTTAATAATTAAATCATGATCATTGCCTTTGACACCTGTATCATCTGGATCTACATAAACTTAGTAGTAAGACTGCCAGACTTGTAAATAGTTCGAATTTACTATAGATTAAATATGAGAATATTATCGAAAACGTATATAGGAGTATATTCGTCGCATATATTCGAAAGTATTCATTAAATTATATTCCAGTATTTTGCAATACTCGTTTTTAACGATAAATACTCATCCAGTGAGAATAAAGTATCAGAATAAAATTAATTGAAAGATATAGACACGGGTCAGGAAAACGTACGTAACAGACTGTCGGGTTTTTGTATCATTGCTGACTTTCGTCTTGTCTCACATGGATGTTTTATCATACCACTTGTACACTTCGCGTATTCATATTTATTTATAGATCTGTAATACAAATATTTTGTATTTTATTATCATATTTACTAAAAATAACAATTGAAATACTGCTTATATTACTTACTTTCGATTTCCGATCCTGCAGAGATAAGTTTAGTGTGCGGCAGTGCAGTTGTGCTTGGTTGTTGATTATTCAGTTGTCCAGTATTTGCTGGTGCAGCAAAACCTGGAGGTGGTTGCATTGCCCAATGTTGAGTTGGTGCGTTCTGTTGTTCCTTATAAAATAAGAAACATTCGTTATGTAAACGTGTACCTCAGTTATTTAAATAAAATATGTTGTAATGTGTGTTTCCAATAATTCTTTCCTTAAATTATAATTTCAGAATGTTTTGACTTTGTTTTACATTTTTATAAATCAGGAAACATAACTATATAGTACGAACAAATTGTAAAACGAATTTAAAAATATTATAAACATGTTTAATACCTGTTGCGCATTATGTGAAACAGTGTGTGTAGGATGAACATGTGGAAATTGCCATGTACTAGTAGTTTGGAATGGAAGAGGCCTAGAAGAACTAACAATAGCTGGATCAATCGAAGTCCAGTCTGCAATAGGTCCAAAATTGTTCCATCCGCCTTTTTGATGTAATGCTTGATGATGAAATTGTTGTTGTTGTTGTTGATTATTAATATCACACCAATCTTTAAGCGTATACACTGCATCTCCTGCGCATTTACTAATACCTGTTTTAAATATCAATCAAATATTAAACATTAGTTGTACAAATAATATAACATATTCAATTAATAGTAGTTATTATCAAAGGGTACCTTGTGAATTCAGAAGGGGATTTCCATTTGGAAGATAGGCATTTTGTTGAGATGGTTGTGCTCCTGTAAACAGCACACTAGACGAATGACTCATGTATAATATTATATTGATTTTTTGCAAAGTCACAAGAATTCACTTTTATACTTGGATAACACTATTGCTCACCACAAATACATATTTACTGACACTAACTTACTATTTCCAATTTATACAAACAAATAAAAAATATATCTTTACTTTTTAAAGAATTACGAAATATTTATGAATATTTTGAATAGATAACTCGAGTAAACATAAAATACGTTTACAATCACCACAAACTATTGACGAAATTACGAAAATACTAACCCGAAAGAGCATTGTTCGTGGGAGCTGGTCGCGGTATACCAAGACCAAAAGAATTCATGTGATTTGGTGTAGAACCAGGGAAACCTGGTGGTGGAAGGCGACTACGTTGTCCCAAACTGGCAGCAGCCGCAGTACTCTGAGCAGGACTTTGCGTACCACTTTGTAACAAATTTTGCGGAAGACGAGACAGCAGGGAATGCGACTGTTGAAGAACTTGTAGATTCTGCAGGTGTTGAGCCTGTTGTTGTAAATGTGCTATATGGGTAACCTAAGTAACAAAATCCAAATAGTATGAAATAAAAATAAAATAATAGAACATTTAGTGTTTTTTTTGAAAAATGGTTACTAGTAAATTATTAAATTTTTTACATAGTTCTCAACAAAAAAAAAAAAAAAAAAAAAAAGAAAAAAAGAAAAACAAAGAAGAAGAAGAAATATGTGAATTACCTGTGGGAAATGTTGTTGACCAATATTTGCAATATTTTGTTGATGCTGTACCCTATTTTGTTCTTCTCGTTCTCTTTGTTGTTGTTGTTGTTGTTGCTGAAACAACCTTTGTTGTTGAATTTGCATTTCGTTTTCCATAAGTTCAGCTAGAGCTTTCTGTGTTTCATGAAAAGGATCAAAACCTAAATCATCATCAGCCTTTAGATCTGAACCAGATTCTTTATGATTCCGAACTTCCTCCAAAGTTGCATGACCATTTTGTTTTATGTATTCACAATTCTCTTGATTTTGTTGAGCCTTAGGAAATAGTTATTCTTGTTATTAACAATAATTATTAATATAGAAACAATTTAAATCCTACTTATATTCTATCAATTATATTGCTATGTTAATTTAACTAAATATCTGATTATTTTATACAATTTTAAATACTATATGAAAAGTAATTGTAAAAATTTGATATATTAATAAATTAATAATTTCATTTCATAAACTATTTACCTGTAGAGCAAGCCTTTGTTGTAATGAATTTTGTTGAAAATCTGCCATAAATTTAGATGCAGGAGAATTAACAAGCAAGCTCGATGTGAAAGTACCAGAAGGTTCTGACAAAGTAGTGTATTGTAGATTAGTGTAAACTTCTTCATCTACAAAACCTTCAGAATTAAATGTTACTCCTGGTGAACTAGAAGGACTGGATTTTTGTACATGATTTGTTTGTGCAGTTTCAGGTTGAAAACCAAAAGCTGCTTGCCAATCTTCACTGGATTGAACCATTGGTAATGAATCAGGAATAGAAGCTAAACCTGTGCTTGTCCAATTCAGGTTTGGATTTGCTGTATGTCCAAAAAAAAAATACTTGTAACATTTCTTTTACGTTTCATTTTATATAAAATATATGAGAATATAAAAAGGGAAACAGACAAATATAAGAACTTAATCAGTTTTACAAAAATCAATTTATGAAAACCACAATACTAAAGAAGATTATATGTACATGCCTGTCAAAGTAGTAGGTGGCACTGAGGTGGTAGTAGAGATTTTCTGGAAAGTATTTGAACTGAAGAAACTATTATTGTCCGTCTGAAAGATCGATCGATGATTGAATTGTATTTGAGATCCATTATGTAGTCCTGGTGGTGGCTGTTGATTGGCACCTTGTGATGAATTTGTGCTAGCTGGAGAGGAACCTAAAGATGATACGCACAAATCTCTACACTACGAGACGCGATCAAATCATTTTGGTAGTGTTCAAATGCCAGAATAAACAGCTTCTAATACTATTCCTCTCTGCCACCATTAATGAATCTCAAAAATGTATATATCTGTGTCTGGAAAATATCCTTATATTCAAACATGAAATAAAAAATTATTAAAAAAAATAAATTTTACACACACACACACACACACACACACATTTCCAGACACTTAATATAAGTGCTTGAATGATGCAACTTGCAAGAAGGATAAAGTCAAGTGTGTACAAAAACACAAAAAACAGTTACTATTTTTTTTTCAAAGAATTCTCTTTATTTTGGCATATATCTATAACTATTTAAGTTCTATACTACAGTTATGAGACAGCCATCAGACTTGCATGTCATTAATATACTATACATTGCATAGAAGTTATTGTATCATATGTTTAAGGTACAACATACAATGTTATAAGTGATAGGCACACATTTAGAATGATTTGTGATTTATTACAAATACTCTGCATGACATGTTGTAATATTAAGTTAAATGAATTAAATATTGTAACTCCTATGTATAATCTCTTATGAACTTATCATAAGTCAAGAGTATAAACTTCTTTCTATTTCTTTTGCAAATATATATTTATGGAACTTTATTAAGTTATAGAAACATTTTCAAAAAATAAATATATAAAAAATTTGTACACGTCAATATAATTAAACAAAAATATTTTATAAACAAGTACTGTTTAAAATTATTAGAGAAGAAACAAGTTTAGATTGTAAATCTTTGAACTTAAACAATAAAAAATTTGTAACTATAATCCTATAAATGTTTCATAAATTTCATTATAAACTCTAATATACATTTTTAATAATAGCAATTATAATAGAAAATTTTTTTCAATCTGTTTTTTTTCTGTTATTTACATATCATTTAACGAATATTTTATATTAAGTTTAGCTGTTTTGTATATTTATTTTAGAAGCAGAAAATCAATACATATAGAAATGATCACGAATATAAGGAACTCACCCAAAATAGCAGCACCATTGTTCTCCTCACTTGATTCTGCTAAATGTTCCGCTTGATGATTCACATTCGAATCTTCCGTACTTGAAATTGTACTAGCCGGTGTACTACCTTCACGCTGTTGATCTGTTTCACTATCCGAATGCCGACGCTCTCCATTTTGCACTATTCCATTTACTTTAAGTTCATGAGATGATTGTTGTTGTTGCTGCTGCTGTTGCTGTTGTTGTTGTTGAACTAATTTGGATCCTTTATTATTTTGTTGTTGTTGCTGTTGAGGTGGCGGCTGCTGCGGCTGTTGTTGCTGCGGTTGTGATTGTTGTTCCGATTTACACTTATTACCCAATTTTTGTAATACATCGCTATTCGATTCGGAGGAAAAATTTCTAATATCCTTCTGCCCATTAATTTGTGATTGTACATTATTTTGCGTACCAATAGAGCTAGATTCTGATCGAGAAGTTGTCCGTGTACTATGTTTTTCTTTATTTTGACAATTTTTATGCTTATTCCGCGCTGCCTGAGCTTTACTTTCACTATTACTTTTTCCTCTCCGTATATTCATATTTTCACCTTTGTTATTATTGTTCGGTTGTTGTGTTGAACCACCAGATGATACATGACTCTGCTGATTTGTTGTACCACTTCCGTTTGTCATGTTGTTTTGTTGTGATGTTGTTTGTGACGGCGGTGATAATTCTTTACAATTTGTTTGTGAACCTGTAGGCATAAAAATAAACTAATTAATAGTCTACATAGAAAGATATTGTTTTCAAACATAAATATCGATTTTGTGAAAAAAAAAACTTACTATTTGTTTGCCCAATTTGTAACGATGGCCAAGCTTCTTTGGCTTGAGAATTTGAAGTTCCATTCTCTCTAACAATACTGCCTGTCACTGATGGTGATGGTGTTGGTTTCCTATATAATAATTATTGTTTGAGTTATATTATCTTTTCTTTTTTTAAATATAATTTAATAATTTCAAATGTAAAATAAATTACCGTTGTGCAGATGCATACGACGCATGTAACGATTGCACTAGTTTACGCTCATATTCTTGATGTTTGCCCTGGTGCATCTCTTCCTTTGTAAATGATGCCTCCTGGTCCCCAAGATCATGTAAATACATACAATCTGGTTTTGGACATGGCTGATTACGCATAAAATGCGAACAATATTTTGTTGTTCCTAACGACGTTTTAATTGTTCGCCCATCCATAACAACATTATTCACAGCCTCTATAGCACGTAGTGCATCTTCTTGACGCTAATAATACATAAATTGTTAAATATAAAATGTGTTTAAAAGTAATAAAATAATATGTAGTTTTTAATGTAAAAATATGTATAGCTTACTTGATAAGTAACGTAAGCTGAAGCATTAGGACCTTGAGACCCTGCATAGGAAGTGCTTTGATTTATTACAACTTTGTGAATTTTTCCAAATTTTCCAAAATATTCATGCCGCTTTAATACCTGAAAATTCATGAATACAAAAATACAATATTTACTTCAAAATATTTTAGTTAGTTCACTTATTTCTCTACTTACATCAGCATCCGCAAGTCTCAATGGTAATCCTACTACAAATACTAGATTTTTTTGTACTACTCTCACATTTGCTAGATGTTTACGGTTTTCTGTAACCCTCTGCTTACGTTGCTGATCTTTTAATCTCTTTTCTGCTTTTAATCTAATAAAAAAAATGAATGTACAAATATATATTTATTTATGATTAGTATAGGTATAATAAATATTGTGAAATAAACATTACATACCTTGCAATTTCTTCCATACTGAGAGGTTTAAAATCAGCAGGATTTTCAGAATAGGCCTTCCGACAGGCAGGGCATAAACCATTTTCATCTGTACGAATCCTATGCCAGCAAAATCTACATATTTGATACCCACAAGTGCATGGAAAGAAATTCAAATCATCCACTTCCAATGGTTCCATACACAAAGGGCATTCTACTGCATCTTCTCCACTTTGATTCAATACTGACATTTTTGTTTCTAGTTTTTATATCACACAATATAGTAAGTTACCAAGATTTTTTTATTCGTAAATCCTGTACACAAATAGAAAATGTTTCACACAAAATATGCAACACACTTAAAACTATACACATGAAAAATATGTAAGCAATAATTATTAAAATATTTTAATTTTGGCAATGAAATTATCAACAAAATATGCACAGTAACACTGAAAATACCCAGAATATACATTTTAATAGAAAAATAATATCATTATCAATATAAATTCAATATACATACGTGCAAAGTTTTCACAATGTCTTGATACTATGTAATTGACTGTACTTGTAACTTCTTACACACTAATATCCTTGCACAATCTGAAACAAATAATGGGATGTTAAAATGTTGTACAGTAAGAATGTTATGAGTCAGACGTGTCATCGAGTACTAGCAGCCGTTTTCGTGCAATTCCACGTCAATTCGTAAGAGAAACTTCGCAACGTACGTCGTAACGAAATTTTTTATATATTTCACCGTGGATGCGTTGGAATTAACGTATACCAGAAGAAATTGGAACATAATATTCTCTCGTACAAAATAGAATAGGAAACGGTGACTGTTTAGCTGACAGATTTAACGAACAGTTGGAAAGGAAGGTCCGTTTGACAGGAGCTGTCAGACGAACGATAAACGAACAAATAACGTTTCGGATTTCAGGCAATTAGAGTAATCGCGTACGCCCTACGGTGGACGTAAAAATGTCAAGTTTGTACGTGAGGTTGAGAACGACGACGAAAAACTTGCGGTAGGGCCACCGTCTGTACTCTCCCACTCACTTTCTCTCTCTCTCTCTCACTCTTACGGTGAGACACGAACTATACGAGAGGGCGACGATCGGACGAAACAGCTGTTGGTGGCGTCGAGAGAAGCGAAGAAACGTCAGAGAGCGAGTGAGAGGTACTACGCCATAGCAGAAACCTACGTGAAAATCCGTGAAAAGTCAGCGTGGTGGGGCATGACACGTAAATTCCCCGGAGCTTCGAATACAACTATCCGCATACGCAAGGACGATGGCTCGATGTTTCGCGATACGATTTTGAAGAGGGGAAAAGGCTAGTGGCGAGCAAGAGAATGAGAAATGGAAGTAACGAAAGGAGTGGCGGAGGGAAAGA